CCATTCAGTCTTCCCCCAAATGACAAACAAGACAGTGGAGTTATGATTGAATTCCCTTTTTTCAAAATTAGGGGAGACTAACTCGCATTTTCCTTTGCATCTACATATTTCCCACCTGCTCATTGTGCTGCGGATGCTCCTCCTAGGACCTCCTTAATTTGGTCTCTGCTCAAACCTCTATCCTCTTACACACAATTTCTATGGAAATCGATTCCAGGGAGGAGCAAAGGGAGGCTGAGGAAGGTAAAGGAGACTCTTCCCTAGAAAGATACTGACAGAGAGGACAGCGGGCCCTTTTTATGAATGGTTCACATTAGGGAGGTTTCCTACAATGCGGTGGTCAACTTCCCAATTTGGAAATCATTAATGTCTATCTCTGCCTATCACCCCAAATTTTTCATTTTCAATATCATTGAGTGGTTGAATTTGTCCTTTAGCTTCAGAGGCACATGAAGAGAAATATGCGATGGGTTGTATAATAGAACTTGTAGACATCTGCAAATTAAATCTTAGATCCTGGTTATTTATACAGTCTGCACGCTTCTCTAGTGTTTGCTCTGTAGTTATAAAAATTGTGAGTGAATTTGAAAATCATGTTCTCCTAGAAGTAATTTTCCCCCAAACTATCTTTCTCAAGACCTTGATTCTTGCTGAAGATTCACACTAATAGCAATTATTAGCAAGCTCTGAGAGACTTTCCCAACAGTCTATCGTTTGTAGAATCTCAGAAGACAGTATGCCAGAGCAATAGGTCTCCTGTGCTGGGCCTTTTCAGGAGTTCAACTGGTAATGAGTGCTTCTCATTGTACATTGCATTAGTGAATACACACAAATGCCTAAAAAAAATCAGAATTAGGTTACATCTACAGTAGCTAATATTAGATCATTCTTAATGTACCCAGGCGCATCTTTCTTTATATATAATATGATCTATATTTGCATGTGCATATAATGGTATTTAACAATTAGAGTAGCCCATAAGATACCTGTTGGGTGTTTAATTATGGATCAGGATTCTAAGTTTACAAATGTCATCAGGACACACTGTTAGGTCATATTGGAACAAAGTATCCCTAGTTTATGTATTTCAGAGTTGAGAGTCAGCAGAGACTCACTACTACAAAACAATGTTCCCGTACTAAAAAATAAAAAGCTGCCTGCCACTTGCCTTACTTCCAATTCTACTACCTGGCTCATTTTGATGGTATAATGCATGGGAGAGTAGAGTAGTTAAAATTATGTCCCAACAATCTAAAACTCATAATAACCTTTGAATAATAATTAAAATAATGCATTTTTAAAGAGTTTTTTAGTCTCATTTTATTTTCATGGTGAAAATAAACGACCCCAAAATGGGTCTCCTTCCACTATCAATTCTTTCCCTTTCCAGGGCATGTTTGTGGGTAAGGTGGGGGGGCAGGGAAAATGCTAAAAAAATTGATGCTGGGACAGAGGGTGCAATTCAAATTTCCCCAGGCTAACTGGGATATATACTCCTATTTTGCATATACTGAAAAGCCACAAATATGTGAAATTATTAAAATGTTGAATCAAATGTACAAAACAAAAAAGCAAAAAAAACCC